GGGAGTCGGAACGCGGGCGACCGGCTGACGAAGCATACGCGGAGAAAATCCTTGTGCAAGATGGTGCAACTTCAGGGGATGAGGTCGGGCGGCCTTGGTTTGAAAGGCACTTTATTTTTTCGTATCAAGTGTAACGGACGCAACACCGACGTAATCATAATAATAATAATAATAATAATAATAATAATAATAAATATCCGGTCCAGATAGCCGAGATCGCTAAGACAGCAGTGGTGAAGCGATCTCAAACGGAAGGATCGCGGGTTCGAGTTCCGCCGCGGGCACGGTTGCGTGTGTTTGTGATTGTTTATTCACCCTTCATCATTATCATCATCATCATCATCATCATCATCATCATATCTTACTTCATCCCCCATGGCTGTTAGCCCTGGGGTGTAAAAATGGATCACTGATCACTGTGGACTTGTTTCCGGGAGAATGTGACTGGACCTCGGTAGGTACAAGTTACGCGTTTGCGTAGTCCGAGGATATATGAATTATTGACAGCGCCCCTGCAGAGTTGTGTAAAAATGTGTTGCTGCGCACCCCGGTTGTGTTTGTACTTGTGACGCACGTCGCCTCCCCAACGACCATTTCGGTGTGGTCTTGCGACAGAAGTGACGTCAGGATGTCGCCTTCGCTCTGTCCCTGGCACCCTCGAGTTTGGTCTCTCACCTTCTTTCCAATTGTTTGGACACTTTCCACAATTCGCGTTGGCTAGCGATTAATGGCGGTGCCAGTTGCTCTGAAGCGCGCCTTTCACAAGGATTGGCAGTGAAAGACCAAAGAAACATAAGGGTTCAATCCTAAGATAAGTGAAGTTAGTGGACCCAAGAAAAAGTTGAGTCCAGTTTTAAATTCCATCACCTTTACCATCACCATCACCTTGCCACTCCCCCCACCTACGTCACCAGCACCATCTCCACCTCCGCTCCCACCCCAGCGACGTGTGCACCAACTCCACCGCCGTCATTGTCCCCATCCACCCCAACTTTTTTTTTCTTTTCTTATTTACTTTTTATCGAAGATCGATAGGCTAAAAGCGTGCCAAGTGGCACAAGATCTAGCCTCCGATCCTGCTGGCTTCGTTTAGATGCAAAGTCTCCGTACCGGTAGCCCCTCTCTCCAGGAAAAGAGCGCTGTCCGGTTCACAATGTGTGCGTCCCGATACGTGGGATCGCGTGAAAGCCATCGTTGTTTCTACTCGTTCGTACCAGTTTGCTCGCAAAGCGTTCGTGAACGTTGCAGATAAGGAAGCGAAAAACGATCATCGACTCTTTCTGCTAACATATTCCAGTCTGTCAAGAAAAGGTGTTTCCCGTTTACGGTAGGAAACTGTTAATGAGGAACTCTTTCCGAACCACGCCCAACATTCCGCCTTAATGAGAGTACTTTTCGTGTAGTGAACTAATTTCAGACGATTCGCATTCTTCGTTGGCGCGGTCCAGCCAGCAGCAGATAACTAATTCTCAGCACTTGCAACGTCTGTTTTGCATACGCAAGTATGTGTGGAGCCACCTGTTTTGGTACAGTGGCACTTTGCTCTCAGTGGCCATGAAAAATGGTGTGGTGGCCAGCTGTTCGCTCGGCCCACTTGTTGGAGCTTGTTTACTGTTTTTGATTTATGAACAAATTTTATCTCTTCTAGTATCAATAGTTACCTGTATTAATCTTCCCAAGATTTTTTTTTGCTGAATACTATTTCGGTTGTTTTTGAGATTGCATTTTATTGCGACAATAAAACGAGGAATGTTGAAGGTAATTTGCCACCGATTTTTCACAAATAAATTTAAATGAGTAAGGATTGGGTTGCATCACAATAATCTTCACTTTCAGTATATTAATGAAAACCGTTTGTACTGTCTGTATTATCTTTGGAGAGAAACCTTGAGACATGCTTTTTACTCGCGCCTTCTCAGGAAAACACCTGTTTTAGCTTTTGGGCCAAGTACTGCCACTACACAGAGGGCCTTAGTAAAAGTAAGCTAATAAAACTCGACCGCTTTGACAAGGATATTTTTTATTTTATTTTATTTTATTATTTACGGGCACATAATCTGCTGTGGTCATTAGTCCCGTTAGTGTAGTGAATATTTTATCGCGAGAGGTTGCAGTATTCCTCCCCGCTGGCTGATGAGATCTGGCGCAGACCTACATGTTGGGGGGATTTCATTCTCCAGGTATCTCCCACCAGGGGGTACTGGGGCACCTATAGGCACCCGACTAGTCTCCCGACATGTGTGGTAGATTAGGGCATGTAACTGTGTGTGATGATAGAGCTAGGAAAAGGAAATAAAGATCACGTGCGATCCGTGGCCCGTTTTCTGCTCCGGCTTTCGACTGGTGTTGATCAGAGTAACCACGGAAAACTACCGACCACAGCAGCCGGCAGCTAGAATTCTCCTCCGGGCCGCAGTTGAATTCTCTATCTATATAGCTAATGTTGAAAATGTGCTGTAGGGTCTTGAACCTGCCTAGGAGCTGCCGGTCACAGTCACTGCAGAAACAACGGAAATGCTGGCTCTGAACCAAACTCAGCTGGTGAAGACATTTGTGTGAAGCACATATTATAATGCGGCTACATTCACTGCCCGTCGATCTCGTGTCCAGAAACCTAAACTCATGCCAACCACTTTAAATTATCTGATCATGTCCATGAAACATTATCTACATCGTAACTTTAATTTCTATTACCCTCATAATTTCAGTGATTGACATTTTACATTCACGCCTGTATTACTTACAGAGATACTGATGTCATGTTTGTCTTGAGCTGGGTAACATACATCAATTGACCACTTGTTCTGATTCACTGGGCACCCCATCGTGAATTCTACAGTAATTACTCGGAGTTGATGTATCCATTATATTTCCACTCTGCAAGCTTTCTCCTAAACATAGTCTGCGACTATTATCGCTTCATTATTTTAATTTCACTTCGTGCTATAGTGTCACTGCTTGTTTCATTGTGTGCGAAGTGTCGCTTGTGCCAGTTGCGCGCCCGGGCCACGGAGTGACGTGTTGCCTGCTTGTGTTGCAGACCTCGCTGCCGCGCGCCGGCTGCTGGAGGCGGAGGGTGGGGCGCTGTGCCCTGGGTGCAACATGCCGTTCGACAAGGGGCGCAAGCGCAAGCTGATCGACGCGTGCGGCCACGAGCGCTGCTACGCCTGCATGTTCCGCAGCGACGCCTGCCCGCTGTGCGCGGCCGCCGCCGCGGGCCCGCCCGCCGGCGCCCAGCAGCGCTCCGCCGACGCGGGTGAGTGTCGTGCGACGGTCGCATTCGACAGTCGCGCGCAATCGACGCGTGCGACAATCGCATGCGTGCGGTGTGTGGACAGACCTAAGCGTTCTGTGAATGCGACAGCCGTAAGCATTGTGAGTGCTGCAGCCGCACGCCATTCTATGTGTGCGACAGTTGCATGCAACATATCGTATGCAAAGTGTTTCCTCCCTCCATATTTTCAGTAAATATTAATGTCATTTTATCTCTCGTACTTCAACAGTCCTGGGTGAAAACTGGCATACTTCACTGGGAATTCAGGAAAAAGGAAACGGGTTAGTGTCAGGTTTTCTGGGGAATCGTAAATCAATCAACCTACTTTATCATGAGACCACCATCTTTGGGGATGGCACTCAAATAAAGTAAACATGTTTATTTTCACCTACATTGTCATTTTCAGATGCATTTCGTAGAATATTAAATCCATTGCCACTTAAAAACATGTTGGATATCGAATCATGCTCGTAGAACCATGGCGAATGTTTTCTGGTTGAAGATGGTTACAATGAAAAGACAATTACTATGATAAGGCAATTAAAAAAATAATCGTCTCGGTTTTCAAATTTGAGAACTTTAGGAAATAAAAAAAAATGTACATCGCCACACTAATAGTAAAAAAGTAAGCAACACATTTAGGAATATGCTAGTATCATGCTGAAAACACTGCTAGTAAGTGAAAATTGTATTTCTACAAGATAAAGTAAATTAAATTTTACCGAATAAGAAATATCGACTACTACCCAACACATGCAAGTGAAACATCAATAAAATTACCACATAATTGTTTTTGATTTCCAAACTTGAATATTATCTCTCGAAGAGCATGTTTATCGTACATTTGCAATTTGCTATGTTTACAATTGCTCATTTGGTAAATGCAGAGCAGTTCCTATCAGATTTTAATTCAGACACGCCCTGCAATTTGACACGATTTATTGCCTCTGATACGCAATATTTATGAAGTATTTCTTTTTGAAATATCAATATTTTATGACATTGCACAGAGTTAACCCGTTTGGACTTGGGAAACCACGCACATTCTTTACTGCTATCTATCGATTTCGGTCGGACTTTTATGCACCCGTCGAATTTACGATAGTGGGCGAGAGGGCGACGTAGCTTTTGGGGCATAAGCGTGTGGGATACCAGTACTTTTGTAATTTCTGTGTGCTAGTGCGATGAGAAACTTCATGTGCTTTCCGTCTCTCATATCTCCATGATATCCATTCTTTCCCCGTATGTGCATTAATTATTTCCAGTCTGCCAACTTTGATGAAAGTTTCCAGTACTGAGTATAAAAATCTCTACTGCATGTGTATGGTAGATTACCTGAATTGTCTCGATTATCAGAACTAAAGCGAAATTTCTTAGACACGGATGTTTCAGAACTTACAAAAATGTCAATATTTACGATTGTACAAATGTCAATATTTACATTGTATATTAAAACCTTACGAACAAATTCACCTTCATATCATTATGTCATTTCTATTGCCTTTAGTTTGATGTTTTGAGGCATTTTATCTCATGTGAAAGTTTGCCTGGAATTATCTTTACATTGGTTAGAGTAATAGCCCTCCTTGATGATGATTACACATAATTTCACTTAGTAGCATACATATTCAAATATCTTTCATTACTCGGAGCAACTGATTAAAATTGTGCCTTGATGCAAGTTTCTTCTTGCCTTATTTATCTGATGGTGCAGAACGTGTTGCTATATTAATTTTGAGGGGAGTTTCTGAGCCATCATCTGTATATCGTAAACGTCATGTCACATCGTAAATGTCAATGCGTATTATTTACGGGTTTATCAATAAGATTAACGCAGCAACGATCTGATTATTTATATATAATATTAAATAATAATAATAATAATAATAATAATAATAATAATAATAATAATAATAATAATAATAATAATAAAGTAAGCAATCAATACATTTTCATATATGAATTCTTTTTTAAGGTTCGTATATTTCCAATGTCTTTGATTGTGAAAAGGCTTTCCATTTGACACTTTCCATCGATAGTATTGGTTAACAGAAAGAAAACATTCGTAGAAGGCACAAGCATTACGGAACCTCTCGTACATAAATTACAATGTAATCTTGATTATCAGTCTCGTATGTTTTCCTGATTTCTTGTGCAATTCTTTACTTTGCAGCCCATCCCATTAAGAAGGCGCTGGGAAGCTCTGAGCCGATCTACGTCGAACTCAAGAACGCCGCAGGGATCCAGACTCGCCCAAAGGTCAAGACGAATGGGCACTTCACCTCGTTCATGCAGGTGGGTGAGTGGCGAGGGGCGTTGGCCTCGGCGAGTGGCGGCTGAGGCGCTGAGAAGCTGGGGGAGTCGTAGCGGGAAAAGATGAGGAACGAGGCGGGGCGAGATGAAAAGGATCTAGCCAAGACGGGTGAGGGATTGATTATTTTGGGTTTCCGGGCGCGGCAACTTCTACGATGAAGACTCGTAAGTGTAGTGCGTGCAACATCCCTGGAGGCAGTTGTATTCCTTTCTCGCTGGAACGTGAAATTCGGCGCAGACCTACACGTAAATGTACGGAATTTCCCTCTCCATGTGCCAGCTGCAGTGTGGCCCCGAGTCTTGGTTGGGCCGAGTCGGGGTTGGGTCGAATCTGGTCGAGTCGGGTCGGGTTGGAGGTCCGGCTTAGGGTGGTGCGGGTTGGGCAAGTGCTTTGCGGTTAGTGCGGGGGGTCGGGGTCGGTGTGTCGAGTGGAGTCGAGGATCTGACGTCCGAGGTCGAGTTTCGTAGAGTCTCTGATGGCGTCCGAGTGAGTCTGGAGGTGGCGGGTCGAGGTCTGGGTGGAATTCGTGGTCGGGTCGAGTGTCCGAGAATCTGTTCGGGGGTGCGGTGTGGAGGTGCGACATCGGTCGGGGTGGAGGTCGAATGCTGGGTCTGGGTGCTGAGTCGATCTGGGTGGGGTGCGAGTCGACAGCGTGGTGGCTCTCGCCAGGCGGGTCGAATCTGTCGGGTCCGCAGTGGGGTGGGTGGGATCGTGTGGTCTGGGCGGTGGGACTCGAATCTGGTCGGGTCGAAGTGCGAGATCTGGTGCAGGTCGAGATTGGGGTGGGGGTCGAATCGGGTCGTCGAATCGGTCGGGTCCGAGAATGCGGGTGGGGTTCGGGCGCGAATGTCGGGTGCAGATAGATACGGTGGGCTAGATCGGGTGCGAATAAGGCGCGTATCGTGGCGGGTTGTGGCAGATCGGGTGCGAACTGCGGGTCGAGTGGTGGTGACAGGTGCGGGTCAGGGCTGCTAGTGCGAATCGGGGCGGGGCGGAACGGCCAATGAGTGCGGTCATGAACTGTGGGCGGGTGCGCGCGTGGCGGGGGAGAGGGAGGCGTGGCGGGGCGGGCCCTCAGTTGGCGGAGGAGGTTACTAGGTCCGGTGGAAACGCTCGCCCGCCGAGGAAGTTGCTGGGCGGGTTGGCAAATCAGACACTTCGGGACGGAGGCCACCGCCCCCTGACAGTTCAAGGACCTCTTGTTGCTGCTGTGAGGAATTTGCGTACTACTTTCATCTGACTTTTATGGTGCAATTCTGTATTGCCGTAAATGAGAATCATTAATTTTCGAAAAAGTTAACATCCAAAATAATGTTGGTATAAAAATGTCAAAACCGTGTTTGTACGGCAGTTCGTCCATGTCAGGAATGAGACGGCTATGTTGGAAGACTGATGCCAGCAGTTGCGAAGTTGCTAATGAATTTTTTAGTGAAGTCGTTTTCTCTGAAAAGTCTACGACGAAATCACGAAAAGTGTTCAGGGAATGATGAACACAAGGAGTACGTATATTTTTCTTCTTTCACGTTTAAGTTACGTTAAATTAACGAAGGCGTGTGAAAACTTGGAATCACGCATTTTTTCTGACAACACCCAAAAGAAAAACTTTTATATCATTTGTACTTAAATACTGTTATTCATATCTGTAAAAATAGTTTGTTGCGTAATAAGTATATGTTGTACTAATTATCGAATGTAAAATTTGATAAAAGCAATTTAAATAATGACTTCAGATAGTAATGCCGTCGGTGTCAGTTCAATATGGTAGACCAAAACGTCGGTTTAAAAGAAATGTAGTTTCCTCAATAAAGTCTGAAGAAGGGCGTCCTCCATCATCTGCCCTGAAGTCGTGTCTGATGCGGAGCCACCGGTCGCTGGGCCGGCAAACGAGTAGTCGCAACCGGGAAGGTCACGGGGAGCCTCAGCCGGGGTTTTCACTACAGCAATTGCACGTACTGTACAGAGACTGACGGGCGCCGAAGACTCGTTTGCGATTTGAACTTCGAGATAAAGCAACAAACGTGTATGTAGGTGACTCAGAATGAATGTTACATATGAATACGTACGGGGCACATATTGAAGGTCATAACATTTTCCCCAACGACCACTGGTGGGAAGTTCAATATAAGGAAGTTGCATGTCGCTCGTGGTCTGTAAAAGTGGCACAACTCAAAAAGTACGAATTTTCAATTAATGCACTCTCTAGAATTTCAGATTAGTCAATCATCCGGTAGCATATCTTACAGTACAGTATTCCACCAATATATAACAGAAGTGTGAATGCAAGGATGCTGCATTTCAATACAAGGTGAAAGCTTTAAACTCGTTTATCTCGACTTCTATTTTTTTTTAGTTGTGCCACGGTTGCAGTCCACGAACGACATGAATAGATTTGCCCCTGATTCCTAGGCAACCCATCATGCATTGGTGTTACGCAGGTGACGTTCTGACGTAGTGAGAGAAGCTTTTTTCGTGTACCTATCGAACATCAATGCGTGGTTTCAAGGGCAAATCTCACATATGTAATTTCCTTTTATATACATTTCCCATCACATATTCATTGTGGAAAGGTTTTCATCTTCGACTCCTTACGTGTCCTAGAAATGTGTAACATGTATTCTGAGACATTCTTTGTAAGAGGAACAGACGTGTATGGAACATCAACTTACCCGCCCTGACAAAAAGAACCCTCCGTTCTGCGTGAAGTTATGGTTCTGCTCCAGTCGTGCTGTACCACACCAGGAGCCCGAGCATCAGGGAAAAGTGGTTAGCGTCAGGCCGCCTGCTACACTTCCCCTGCCTCGTTCAATGCGGTGTCGTCACGTGTCGGTCCTATTTCATAGCTGACAGTTAATGCTCTTGGAGTATGATTGCGTCATTCGCAATCGTGTAGCATCAGTTGAACGTTGCACGGCCACAATATTTCACGCACTCGCTTACCAACTTATTGACGGGTGGAGAGAGGCCAGTAAATTTCAACATGAGCCCTAGGTAACCACAATTGAACTCAAAACAATTAGTCATTTAATCAGAAATGCAATAATGGTTAAATTAAAAAAAAATATCAATTTTAGTTTGAAAGGGTTGCTGACGTTTCTTAAGGCAAACTTTACTTTTATGAGTTTTTATTTCGCGCTAGCCTGCATCTTTGTGGATAATGCTTCGGTGACAAATGATCTCAAGGCTTTACGTCGAGTGTTTCCTCCGAGGATGTTGCATTAGATCTTCAGCGGAGCTGTTCCATTAGTCCTAAAGCTGAGCTGTTGCATTGGACATAGAGCAAGGCTGTTGGATTAGGCCCAGAGCGTTGCTATTGCATTGCACTAGAGTAGGACTGGTAAAGTAGGCGGCCCACTGGGCGTACCACTGATATGGCCCTCGAGCTGGGACAGGGGAGGCGCTCGGGCGCGATCGGCTGTAGTCTAGTGAAAGGCTTTTCCGTCTGGCCCCAATTCTTCCCGTGCGCAGCCGCGGCGTCTAGAGCGGCGCGGAGCACCCGGGCGCTGGGCGTGGGCCGCGCCGCGGGTCGCAGGGGTCGGCGAGGGTGGTGGGATCGGAGCGCGGGGATCGAGAGGCAGTGATCGATGTGCACGGGAAAGGGCTAATGAGGGCGCGAGCGCTCGCTAAACGCGCCGTCCATTGTGGGCAGCGCCGATCGACGGCCGGCGGCCGGCTGGCGCCTGACAGGACGGGTTCCACAGCTCGATGCTCAGGTGCACCGGGCGAGGGAACTGGTTGAACATCGAACGCGCATTAAGCTCGCCGGTACGCTTCCAACGGGACCGCCGGGAAGAGAGTAATAAATAATAATATTGGGGTTACTCGTTGAGAAATTGTTTGGTGAGGTTGAGTTCATCATTCTGGGTAAGGAATCGTCTAGATGAGGAATCGGAACAAATATCAGAACTAACTTGTCTCCATCTTTATTTGTTTTGATGGAGTCTGGTTGTGTCTCAGCAATGAAAACATGTTCTTGGGTTGAGTGTAACATTAAATTAAATACTTAATTAACAACTAATACTTAATTAACTAAACAATTAAATACTAATAATTATATTGGTACTGATTATATTTGTATTGTGTACTGTATAATGTATGATTAATTATTCAAGTTATACTTAAAATACGTACAGGAATGCAAGTAGTTTTCAGAAACGAATACAGTATGGCACATTGTTCAATTCAAAGAGTAGTCAACGACTTCTGCGAAACGACGTGCACATAGAAAGACGAATGCGTCTTGTAAAGATATTGCATTCACACACTTTCACATTCAAAGGTTAATGTGCCCCACCATCCTGTATTGGATCATACACATATACATTATACATCACATACATTTCTCCCTATTCGTTACACAATTTATTTTGACGAAAATAAATGAAAATGTAATGAAAAAACAAAAACAAATAGGGCCATACTCTTTCACACTCACAAATTCTCTCTTACAAACACACATATTCTCTCACACGCACACTCTCTAGCACACTCGCGGACTCACACGCACACTCACATGCACACTCACACGCACGCTCACACGCACACTCACACGCACATGCACACGCACATGCACACGCACATGCACACTCACATGCACACTCACATGCACACGCACACTCACACTCACATGCACACTCACACTCACACGCACACTCACACGCACACTCACACACACGCACACTCACACACACGCACGCACACACACACACACACGCACAAACACACAC